AAGGAGGAGCTAATTAGGGATAACGCAACGAAGTATATAAATGCACTGATTGTACAGCAATCAAACCTGGTCCAAACTGTAAATAAGGTATTATGTTAGCCTTATTCATGTGATTACCCTAGTGAATATCCCACTTGGTTTATAAGTACAGGATACGTGGAATTATGCTCTCATTTGATCCTATGGGGTCGGGAAACTATTTTCTATTGAATGACTACTAGATGCCAGGCAAGAACCAAGGGATTTCCATATGTTATCACATTTCATTTTTGCAAACTAAGAAGAGGAGAGGTAAATAATATTTCCAGTATATAATTCAGGAAACTGAGGTCTCAATAATTAAGAAATTTGTTCTGGGATACAGGTAGTAACACTCAACGATGTAATTTGAACTTCTCTGTTATCTCCATAACAACCATACAAGTAGAGCCCTTTTAGAATTAAAACAAAAATTAGGAAAAAAGGAAAAAAGCAAATATAGCTATTCCTTTAGATAATATATTCTGAAGCCATCCAACTTGGTGGAGGGTTGCTTTCACTCATCTTTTTAGTGTAAAGAATATAATAGACTAAGAATATTACTTACAACTCTTAAATATAAAAGAGTTTTTGTAGATAATTGAGTTGTGGTCTTGCAAATAGGCTTCTCATTCTAACGCAAGCCCTCAAGCCAGTATGTGGTCCATTTTAACATCCTTTGTGATTAAACTGCCTTAACAGCATCTTAAAGGACTGCAAATAATAATTCAAAAATTCACCACATGTGGTATGAAAAGATTAGACAAGTCTTAAGCAGGCAGGGACTTAAATCCTGGTCGATAATACAGTGGAGAAATTATATACCATAAAGCCAGGGGAGAAAGAGCAAGGGTTTAGCAAAAGGAAGATACAATCAGGGGACACAAACCTTCATATAAATCAAGCCTTTCTATTCTGGGTGATTATTTCATAAACTGGATCTTGGGTAGTTGATCTCTTTAAATGATTACTACAAAATGTATGTACTTTTAGAAACAGTTGCTGGCTGATTTATATTTCAGACATATTTTCCATCAGTTTTTATTCTTTGAGAATATTGTTTTCATAATAGAGTTGATATTTTCAAATAATATGAAAAACTTGAAATTCAATTTGTATAAAAGCTATGTAATTTTAGTGTACAATTACTACATCACATTTGGAAAAACAGTGATAAAAGAAGCAACCAAATGCATACCCAGACGAGACTCATTTTCAATAGATAAGATCATTTTGTCAGAGAGAGAAATATTGATGGAAACACTTTTTTTCCCTCCTCTTGCCTCTAAATTCTGATAGTCTAGCCAAATAATAAAATCAGCTTTTGCACTTACTCTAAAAAGACGGAATGATGGGCTTAGAAGGAAGGAAGGAAGAAAGGGAGGGAGGGAGGGAGAGAGGATACAGAAGGGAAAAGAGAAGAAAGGAGAAGAAAGGGAAGGGTGAGGGGAGCAAAGGATCTCTGGCATGTTCCGTCTTCCTAGGCAATTGGTGTATTACTGAGCAGGCTTGGAGAAGATGAAGTGTTCCTTATTCTAGAAATAGTTTTACATTTTCAACATGGCATTTTATGTTAACAACAGAAAATGCACTACATAAGCAGTACCTATTAGTCATGATAATATAATGTATTTACCCTAAAGTCTGTAATAAAGACAGCAAGTGAGCTACACAGTACTCTTAATAAAAATAAATTAAAGGAGTTGGCTAACTGTTTTGCACCTGTAGAGGGTATTCTGCATGTCTTGTTTATGTAGGCTCTATTGCTCCTGTCTACATATCTACTCAGTAAGGGATGAATCATCCAGTGACAATCCTCCATGAAACAGAATCAAGTTACAGTGCCAATAAGCAATGACCTGCAAAGGAAATAATCCTTACTCCATACATTGGTAAGAACGGAGATAATTTAATAACACAATGCCATTGTTAAAAGCATTTGAAATATGGTTATCATTCTAAGGCTGTTATTGCCAGCCTTAATGAAAGAAAAAAAAAAGTCAAGGTTACATCGTGTTTCTAAAGCAGAGAGGTTCTTCATTTTTGTTTTCTAGAAAAAAAGAATTTATAGGTGTCTACAATACCAAAAACAACATGTTTTATTCAATTAGGCTTTTAGTTGTTGTTTTGTACCTTCATATCATTTATGCTAATTGTTAAGCAAAGTAAATGCTTATGGAGACCAGGGTCCCATGAGGTGTTCTGCACAAATTTTTCACACTGCTTTCTGAATGAAGAGCAATGCCTGATATATAAAGCGCAGATGTGGCTGGCTGTCTTTGTACTGCAGGGCTAATTTGAGGAGATGGATGCAATATGATTCTAGTGTAAAAAATTAACTAGGTAATATGCCGCAGCCATCACAGGTAAGTGGGCCCAGGAGAAAATCTCAGACTTAGATTGTTTGTATTCCATTTAACAATTTCTTATAAGTTCTTTTACTTGAGGTGGTTTATTATTGTTACATATTTAGAATATGTTTTCCCCCAAATTCTAACAAATTTAGAATTTGTTTTCCCCCAAAACTCATGGGATCATAAGTAGTGCTACTTCATTATACACATATACTTTCTAACATGCCTCAGATACCCTGGAACAGTGTTAGGAACATAGCGAATGTTCACTAAACATATCCACCAACTGAATCATGTCATTGTTTGTATTTTACAAAGTTATGGCCATCTGTGTGATACAAATAATCAGTAGCTCTAATTTTTTAAATTAATTATATTAAAATGGGAGATTATGTTATATCATGAGTAAGTTTTTTTGTTTTTTTTAATGAAATGAGGTATTGATTGTTGCTAATGTCACTAAGGAAAATATTTTATTACCCCTTGGCTTGAAAATACTGGCATTTTTTTAAAAAAAGAAAAAATTTTAAGAAGCTGGAAATGGCTTTTTCTTTTAAGTTGGATGCTTAGAAACAATAATATTGATCAAAGAAAAAAAAATGTTGGCCATCTTAGAAAACAAGGCTGAATAACCAGGATTTTGATCTGAAATGCAATATAATTATGGCCAAGCAGCCCTCAAATGTACATTAAAACAATTGTAGGATAATTTTAGAATTAGGTAGAGAAAAATTCGAATAGTTCATGGAAATGTAATCTTTTTTTGCATATAATTTAATCTTTAGAAAATCAACATGCTTTTAAAGTTTAAGATCCCATGTTAGAAAATAGAATAAGAACTTTTCTTTATAGATTTTTTAAATTTTTTTAACTGTTGGTCTGTATATAAAATGGCATATACCATTAAAATATATATTTTGACCAAACATTATTGATTTAAAATACCAAATATTCATACAAGTTATTGATTAAATATGATCTTTGAAGAATAAGTCTATGAAGAAATGCATGGCTCGAATGTTAATATAGCCATTGTGGAGTAAAAATTGGCATTATCTAGTGATTTAAATCCATACAGCAATGAAACATTCTCAAGGATAGACACCTGGGAGCACAGTCAGCTTCATGGGCATGTATCACTGGTGATGTTGCACATGGCCTCATGTGTAGAAGGATCCTACATGGAGAGTGACTTAATGTTCTGCTTATAGCTCTCCTGTAATTATTAATAATTTTTAACAAGGTGCTCCTGCATTTTCATTTTGCACTGGGTCCTGCAAATTATGTAGCTGGTCCTGCCTGAGAGCTTGCATTTCCTAATAATTATCTGAAACCTGAACATTACTATGCTTTTGAAGTTGCCATGTGAGGTTTTATCTCTTTGAGGCAAACATTTGTTTGCACTGCTTATATGGCTTAGCCTTCTTCCCTCTCCCCAATTAATGATTTATTTGCATTTGTTGTCATCTTGTCTCTGTAGCCTTGGCCAAGTAGAAGAAAGAATGGAGATTTTGTCAAGATTAGAGCACAAACCAGTGCCCAGACTGCATCTCCTGTTCTCTCTTCTTTAACATGGTGATTTAAATAATCCAATCCTACCAAGACCATTATCTCACATTTACTGATTAAATGATTTCTAATCTTTGCTTCACCTTCTTTCAAAAGGTATATCAGGTGATTTTGAAGTTAAATACAGTTTTACATAAAACAAAGAAGAATGCAAACAAAATAGCATTATAAATTTAAGAAAAAGGAAGTAGATGCAATTTAGGTATCTAAAATAAGGCAGTTTGTTACAAGTAGCCATTCACTGCCTTCAGATTTTAGATTATAATTTTTTAAAAATTTAGACAAAATAAAGTGGCAAATGACTCATTAGTAGACAATTTTTAAAAATAAAAAAATTAGAAATTTAAAAGGAAACCAAAATTTTATAAGCGACCAAAACATTTTTTCAAATATATAATTTTGGAGTTCTTCCTTTATAAAAGTAAGAAATCATTGAATTATAACATGGTCAAAGAACATTCAGCTGCCTTACTTTGTGATTAAGTAGCTTGATACAGTGTTCCAAGTTAGAGGACTGTGAGATTGCTCAATAGAGGTTATCTCCTACAATCCTCCAGTCTTGGTTTACTTTTGGTGGCTTCTTGAGGACATGTAGTACATGTTCAAGTTTTAAATAAGTCCCTGTGTTTAGAAGGTCCATGCCATTGTTCTTTTACCTTTGATGTTACACTTGTCATAGAAAAACTCAGAAAATTTTAAAAATCAGTGGAGGAGGCTGAAACCCAGGATGATGATGATGATGATGATGATGTTGAAATACTATTAGGCAGAGTTAATCGCTTTCTTAGAAAATGAATATATAGACTGTATGGATGGATTTAGCCTTTATGGTTGTTCATTTGCCATTATGGAAACATTGCCTATATGAGGAGGCCCTTCTGTTAAAAGGTTATTTTACTTTTAAAAATCCTTAAAATTGAAAGGAGTTACATATGTAAGTGCCTTAAAAAAATCTTTCTTCCATTTTGTCACCTCCAAAAAGTTCTATGAATGGATTCAAGGGTATTGCAGAAGAAAATAAATACTTTCGAAATATCGCCCTTCCCTTTCCATACTCACATTCAGGCTGAGTAGCCACCTTGATGGGCTGAGAACTCTCTCCTGGTCCCCACTCATTGTACGCCACAACACGGAAGGTGTACATGGCTTCTGGCTTCAGGTTTCCCACAGTGAGCTGAAGAGACCCAGGTTGGGTTGTATTCAATGCTCGTTCCCTGGGAAATCAAAGTTGCACAGAAAGATTATTCCAAAATGAATATTTTTAGCCAAAACTTTTACTTGATGTGCCAGAGTAGTGAGGTAAACCAAAAGGTTGCTAACTCATTTAACGTTGATGCTAGAACACAATGCAAGACCTCTGAGGCTTACTCTGGGAAATAAACTAACTCAAAGGACCTAAAAATAAATATTGCAAGGTTTCTGGGGAGTTTAAGCTTATATCATTCTCCATGAAACTTGCAAACTAACGTCTTTTTTCCTTGACACTTTACAATTTAGAATTCAAAACTCATGACAAACAAAGAGCTATTAAAATAGGAAGAAACATCTGGGATGTAGACAGGAAGATGCATTTTGTAAACATCCGGCTAATGACAGAAATCAAGGTTTCAATTACTCTACAAATTGGTCTTTGTCAGTATTGCCAACAAATGCATTTATGTATTTTCTTTCATTGTATGAAAAGAAAACGCAGATGCTAAGTGTTTCTATGTATGGAGCTTGAGCTCCTGTGGTTACTTTAAGTGCAATTAGTGAAAGGAAGTACATTCCTTTCCCGTGAAGAGAAACTAACACACGTCTGCTTGCCTTGCTTTTCAAGCCACATCTTCATGTGTTCCATACATTTACCAATTACAAACTTCCTCAGTGTTGCAAACAAATGAATTAATAGGCTGATCATCGTGGGGTTTACAGTGCATATTAACAGAAGAAAAACCCTATAGAAATGAATGCTGACATTTAAGAAATGATAACTATTAGAATATTCTTTAACGACACATAATGATTCTAGACTTTCTAGATATTCTAGATGTTCTCATTGTCCCCTACAATATGATTGATTAAACGGAGTGAAGAAGGAACTCTTGAGATTGTGAATTGTTTCCTAAGGTTTCCATTTCTAGATAATATCTCTTGCCTTTCAGCAAAATTGTATGTACATTTTAATTTTGCCATTCAGTTTTGTTTTGCTTTTGGAGATATTTAAAGTGCAATGTTTTTTCTACCAGGGGAAATTAGCTTTTCAAGAAGAAAAATACAAACAAAAGTTCTCAAGTGCATGAATGGTGATTCCTGGGCATAAGTACACTGGTAATATGGCTGCTATGTCAGAGACTGGCTGGCTCATTTTCAAACGCCAAATTTCTTCTTCTTCATGTGCTAGACTATACTTCCCAGCCTTCCTTTGTGACAATGTGACTGGGTGTAATCAATGAGTTTGAATGTATGTGATGTGTGCCAATTCCAGACCTGGCCCCAGAGAAAGTACACATGGGTAATCATCCATGTTCTCTTTCTTCACCTGTTGGCATGGAGTAGACAAGCATGGCGACCTTGGAAGCCATATATTGACGAAAGAAGGGTCAAAATTTGCAAGAATTCAGAAGAAGAGTTATGAAACACATCACCTATCAATCAGAAACATCCTTTTTATACCTTACAGAGTGAGAAATAGCTTTGAGCCATCATATGTTTTAAGGTTTATTTGTTATAGCCATTGGCACTATTTTAGTATGCTAGTACACTTGACCTTTGAACATCACGGGTTTGAACTGTGCTGGTCCACTTTTAAGTGGTTTTTTTTTTTTTTTCTACCAAATGTGGATGGAAAATACAGTATTCTTGGAATACAAAACCTGCATATACTGAGGGTTGACTTTTCTTACTGGAGGCTTCCCCAGGGCAGACTGGGGGATTTTAGTATGCATACATTCAGTAATAGGCCAGTGTGTAATAGGTGGGTGGTCCTGGAACCAATCCCCTGCACATGCCAAGGGGATTTAATTGGCTGTAATTTTTTTTCATCTTTCAAAGATGTTTTATTTTATTTATTTATTTTTTTTGGCATATTATGGGGGTACAGATTTTAAGGTTTCAATAAATGCCCTTTCCCCCCTCCCCCCACAAGTCTGAGTCTCCAGCATGACCATCCCCCAGATGGTGTACATCTCACTCATTATATATGTATATACCCACCTCCTCCCCCCTCCCACCTGCCCAATACCCTATTACTGTAGTACCTTTGTGTCCACTTAGGGCTGTAATTAAAATATTTATCCCGAGTGGTTGCCAGGGGCTGGGGGTGGGTGGGTGAGAATGGGAATGTGGTGTTTAATGAGTATAGCATTTTAGTTGGAGAAGATGAAAAAGTTCTGCATACAGATGGTGGCAACGGTAGCACTTAATGCCACAGAACTTTACACTTAAATCTTGTGAAAATTGTAAATATTCTACAATCTATATTTTGCACAATAGAGAAAAAGCACCCTGTAAGGATATAGATAGAGCCAGAAGTTTAGAAATTCTTTTACATATGCAGTGTTAAGTTGCTGAAAGGTTGAATGTTGACTTTAACAAGGGAGGGATCTGGGTGGGATTCAATAGTAACCTAAAGTAGGTGAGGATAGGAAGCATCAGATAATGCTCCCATAAAGCACATATCACACTTCTCCTAGTCTACCAAACTAACTTAGGCCAGCAAGTTGCTTTTTGAAAGAACACCATTGTAATCAAATTGTATGCCTTGCTGTATGTAGCTCTAGGAGATTAAGCACATGGATATAGGGAATTTTCCATCTTAGGGAATTTTCCATTGTCTTCCAGCAGAAAATTGTTATATATGGTGCCTCATATAACACTTTGATATAGATAGGATGGTTTTATTATCATTACAGATACAGAGTGAGATTTAGAGAAACAACACGATTGATTCAGAGGACTCACAGGTAATAGGTATCATAGTTAATGAAATCTGGAGCTTCCTCTTGTAAATCCAGTATTGAAGGACTCACAGGTAGTGGGGATCACAGTTAATGAAATCTGGAACTTCTTCCTCTAAATACGGTATTGATATCATTCAATTACATTGGAAAAACAAGGGACCTATTTGGATCATGGGAACTTTGGGTAGAAGACATGAGGTCCTAAAAGGTAAGAAGGAACAATGTGCCTTGTTTAGAAACTACTCAGGGAATGAGTTTGTCTAAAATCTGTTTGGAGTCATTTCATATAGCCTTATCTAGGCCTTCAGGCAACATTGTTGTCAAAGGTCAGATTTGCATGTCAAACTTCTTGGGTATGTCTAAGTAAAGACATGTTCATAATTGACATTATTCTTATAAGAACTAAATAATTTGGATGAAATAACTGTGTTCAGGTCATGCTGGCCACCACCTTTTGAACAGGCATTCTTCAAAGGAAAAAGAGGCAAGGAAATCTGGACATGCCCAGGTAAGAATGTCCAAGATCACATAATGAAAATATCACTTAACATGTAAAAGAGGATTCTGGACTTTATAATGGGGAAGAGAGTTTTAGGTTTTTATAATCTCCATCGGCCTCCAAAAAGTATCCCAAATTAAAAATAGTCAAGAAAAACACATTCATTGACATAAACAATTGATATTTCCTCATTCTTATATAAAGTGTGAATAAAGTGTCTTTAGAAAGTGCTCTGATGGTATTGATCTGTAAAATACGATCTAAGCAAACACCCTGAGCTTGTTCTGCAAATGCACCTTCAAGACAACTCTATGGCTCTTCCTCTAACCATGATGTGCTGGTACTGCCCTGGGTTGACCATGGGTTTCTTCAATGTAGGTTCTTAATGATTTTAAACAATGGTATAATCTAAACATTTACATTTTATGTGCCACTCTTCAGAAATCTGTTTATAGTGTCAAAGTAAGTTTGCATCACAATGCTATGGAGACTACTATGGAGTGGATTTAGGACTCCAGTAAGTCATGGGGGTTGGTTATTCTTGGCCTTCACATTAACTTATCTGAGGTCTGGATTTCTCAAATGCAACAGAGGTGCTATAAAAATGTTTATGTCACAGTATCTGAAAGAGTTAAGTGAGATGCTGCATATAAAACATCCAAAGCACTAAGCATGGCTCTTGATACTCAATGCAGTCTTCGATAAATGGCTGTTGCCACTGTTATTTTATTATAATAACAAAATACCACCACAGCTTCATAAAAAATAAATGCTCTTGATTCCAAGAAGGGCACTTTTGCACAAAATATTTAGAAGTGGGAATCTGAGGAGCAAAATTGGGAGGTAAAATCATAAGGAAAAACTATATAAATAGGTTTCACTGATCTTGGAAACTGCCACAAAAAAACCTTTATTGATATTTTCTATCATATTAATTTTGTTTGCAGAGATACGTTAACACACAAAAAAGGTGATCATAACTAGAGCTATTGACCAAATTCCAATAATGAAAATAATAATATTTTCTAGGGGCTGGGTCTTCACTGGCAGACTCCAGAAGGAATAGAAGTTCCTTGAGCTCCACAGCACAGCTCGACAGCCCTGTGATATCTGGTGTCCCCACTGGTGTCTGAGCTTCTGCTGCCAACCTGCTGTTTTGCTTCCCTGCGTCCTACTGGGGTAACATCAAACTGCTAAAGGGACTCAAAAGCATTCTGGGAAAATGGCATTTCCTGCCATGTTGTCCATCACAGATTTGTTCAGCTTAAGATCCCAGGAGGTTTTTGATCACCTTTCTTAGGCTCTAATAGCTATAAACAGAACATCACAAACCACTTCCCAAGGAGGAGTAACATTTGAGTTTGGAAGAGCAGTTTATTATGCTGAGTTTCTCTGGTCCCATGATAGAACAATGCCAGTCACCTAAAGTAGTTAAAATCCCCATCATCGCCACTTGGAAGCAGTTAGTAATTAAGGATGTTCTCTCTTCTCACTCTAGTCTAGGCTCTGTAAATGGGCAGATAAGCACACTGGGATCTGAAGAAAAGAGAATAGTGTGTGTGAAAATTTGCCCAATTCCTGTGTTGGGGTTTCTACCTGTCACCGTGCCAACTACCCCAAGAAGGCAGCAGGGACCCAGGCCTCTTGCCTCTCAACAAAGGTTTCTCCTAGGAATACTAAGACATAATTGCCCTTCAAATACACAGAACTCAGAACCATGGTTAGTCATAGCAGATATATTGCCAGACAAAGCTCCTTCATATCACTTCTTCTC